TGACAGTCATCTCCACTCAATTGGTTTATCACTATTTAAACCACAATTACATACAAACAGACGTCTACTCTATCATCCATTGATAATACTGATGGTTATGATTATACACACATGCAGGAGCTTGGTGATTGTATACTGTAATTTAGTAAATGTTAAACTACCACATGTAATGCAAGTTTACTCTGGAAACCTGGATTATTATATTTATTCTGGTTATACAACTAATATCATAGTTATAACGATAAGTATATTTATTATTGGGTTACAGGCTATAAACTACTATAACTATAGAAATGGTATAAAACCGACGGATTTGAGAGTATTTCATATGATTTGTGGTTTTATTTCACCCAAAAGTATTGATATTCATAACCAGGTTATAGCCCTTAAACTAATTGTAATTTCTGAAAAATTGTTCAAAATTTCAAATATACTAGTTATCTTGGTATTAGTTGTAGGGGTTCTATTTGTAACCAATGCTTATTTAATATGGAATACCTGGGTCGAAATTATAATAATAGGCATACCACATTTAACACTTTACTTATTATGGGCATTATATATAATAAACATACAAATCTATCATGGCGTTTATTATTTTTTTATTATATATTATTTGAAACTAAAACTAAATTCAATAAATACTATAATAAGACATCGTTTAAGTAAACCACGAAATTTTAGTTATTATTACAACTATTGGTTTGCAATGAAAACTATACGAGAATTGAATGCAATTTATGTGGAAATCAATGAATATAACAGTCAGTATTGGTCACAATATTTGGCACTTATTTGGTTTACATTTGGTTTTACGATATGCTATTTAATTTATAAGCTAGTATTTAACCAAATTTTTATGTTTATTAAAATCATAACATTTTTTATGTTGGTCGTATATTCACTGTTATTGTTATTAATAATCCAAATCTCTTCGCAATTATATAATCAGGCAAATAAAACATATATTTTATTGAATTCATACATAACTCATACGAAACTAATACCAATTAAAAGCAAACTTAAGGTCTCTCTCTCTCTCTCTCTCTTTCTTTCTCATTTGAAATTTAAAAAACACTATCAATTTATATTTTCTGTCATTTTATTATTAATACGTCTATTTGCCAGTTTGATAAATTGCCATGCGATAAAAAAGATCATCTTAAATAAATAACGTTTAAGATTTAATTGACATGTTTAAATTATAGCATTATAATTTATAGCAAATTATACCTGATATCCACGNTCTCTCTCTCTCTCTCTCTCTCTCTCTCTTTCTCTTTCTCTCTCTCTAATAACTTTTATTAACTAATTATTAAATTATTTTTGAAAGTTTTTGAATATATTGGAAAGGATTGGTGTAAAACGTATTGGATTTTCATGTTGGAAGTTATTTATTATAAATAGATTCCGTGGATATCAGGTATAATTTGCTATAAATTATAATGCTATAATTTAAACATGTCAATTAAATCTTAAACGTTATTTATTTAAGATGATCTTTTTTATCGCATGGCAATTTATCAAACTGGCAAATAGACGTATTAATAATAAAATGACAGAAAATATAAATTGATAGTGTTTTTTAAATTTCAAATGAGAAACCTAGTATACGATTAATATTAAATAAATCATAGTTAACATATAAATGTATATTGTTTAGAGAAGTTTTGTAATAAATTAATTTTTATTCTTGTATATCTCATTAATCATTTAATCATTTGTCTGGTAACTATTTATAACTATAGTAATTAATGTTACAGTTCAAAATAAAAAACTTAAAATTTAAAATTCAAATTTTAAGATTTATTTATTAATTTTTAAATTAAACTAAAAATTATTTTCATTGCGCGTTTGGGCACGATAATTTAGTATTTAAGTTAAGTTAAAATAATTAAATTATATGAATATATTTACAGTTTAAAATCAAATAAAAATTTTCCTTAAAATTTATTTTACATTTAAATATAAATACTTATAAATAGCGTTGCCAGACGTCCTCCATTCTGGAGAATTGTACTCCAATCGACCCCCAGTGGCACAGTTCTCCAGAGAGGTTGTGGAGGACAATATAATGTCCTCCATAAGAATTTGCTCAAATAAATTTAAAATTTCTTGTCAATTTTTACATAATCTTTATAATAAATACATGCACCATCCAAATTTTAATTCATAAGTTATGAATAACTTCATTTCATTATTACATTAATGCGAGCAATTATAATTTATCTAGTATATTCATGGAGGACTGGATTATTGTGATAATTGTGATTTTTATATCATATATTATATAAATCTTTTACTTATAAATGCTAGAAATAGTGTTAAACATTCAGAATACGGTACCATAAATAGAGTTCAACTTATTTGTTAACTAAATTTTAACTTTTTAGTTTAATATTTTATAAGTTAATTTTTCATTAAAAATAATGTTTGAGGACGTAGGGTTTTGATCAAGTATAATTTTAATTGTCTAAGGTGTCAAGAAATATATTTATTTTCAACATTTCCATATAAATAGAATAATGTAATTGAATATAATTTTATAGGAAAATATTCAATTAGTAAATATAACAGGACTAGAGATTGGTCAATTTATAAGAGAATTTTATGTTCTCCGTACTTATTGAATGACTCCTAGTGTTATAACTTTTGTCCTCCAAAAGTCCTCCAGAAAAATGTCGGATTTTACTATCTGTCCTCCAATCTCGGAAAAAGTCCTGGCAACGCTACTTATAAACTATTAAAACATTTACCTTAAAACAATTTTTACTTTAAACTTGTGTCCATAAACTATGTATTAATTAAATAAATTGTTTTTCAAAGTTTTTTTTATTAAATAATAATCAAGTCTCAAGTAATTAATCAATAAAATTATCTTGATTATTATATAAAACGTCATGCATTAATAAATAAGAGTAATATTTAATTTTTGATAAAAGTAACTGGTTGAAATTCAATTTATTTACTAATAATAAAGTGTTTGGTGTAATACATATTTATGAATCCGATTAGCAAACCATTCAAAACAGAATTCTCTCAATTTATGCCCTCATTTGATTGTATAGTTTATTATCTAGGTCAATTTAATAGGAACAAATTCATGTATATTCATGTATCACAAACCACTAGATAGAAAACATTAATAAATGATCGTGTATCACTTTGTTTTATGTCCAGTGAGTATAAGTTTATAAAATTTTATAATTATATAAATTATTATTGAGTTTTATAATAAATTAAAAATCGCGACAATACCGGTACTTTCCATTAATTGTTTAACAAAGTTGCACGTAACTATTAAGTAATGTTGTTCATATTTTTACAGTTTGAAATTAAGTGTGCACAATTTGTTTGCTTAAATAAAATAAACATTATTAATATATTTGTCAAATTAATGAAACATGTCACTCCAACACTTATAATGTCAAGTATATACCCTTCCCTTGATCCCTGACCGGACCTTCAAGTACTTGAAAGGTAAGGCGGAATACTTGACCTGGTCACACTATTCCAAGTATCAATCAATTTATTTACCTTATAGTTGTGTCCAAAAATAATATGTTTATTAAACAGATCTTTATCTAAAACTGCATTTGTAATCCAATCAAGTCTTACAAAATGTTCATGGTTAATTAAATTAATAGCTAAACCTTTGGTCAATACACCGGTAATATAGACGTCCTCAAAGGGAATGGCAGGTAAGGTATATAATGCTTTCAAATACAATACTATAATACAATCACTGGTCATAACATGTGCGCCCACTATAAAGTCCGGCCATTTGGCTCCTGTATATAAATCGCGACTAATATACCACTTATTCTTAGGATATCTATTTGGTACCCAACCTCGAGCTACCAGTCCATACATACTGTGAGTTTGGTTAAGAATATTCTGTAGAAATAATCGCAAATTCTTGACATTAATAACCATATCGTCGTCCACTTTCACAATACTATTCACGCGATTGCAGTGAAATAGAGTCCACCGAAGCATCGATAGGGACTTTAGGCTACAGTTATAATACCCGTCGATGAATGCCATTTGTAGGACATCCCCAAACACCAGGTCCTCACGACTGACCATTTCATTAATTGTATTGTTTTTACTTAAACCTAATATAAATAGGATTTTTACGGAATATTCTGTGGTTTTATAAGTAGTCAAGTGATAGAGACTCTGAGCCCATGTCTCGCGAATCGCAAGTCTTTGCCGAAAGTCATGGACACGACTTAATACATAAATAATTGTTTTTAAGGATTTATCGCAAAAATGGATTTTATTAATCCGATAATCCCTGATATATTGAACAATATTAGCATTTAATATTTGTGTATGATTTGTATCACTGGTATTATGAGAGCTACCGGTGCTTTCAGCTGAAAATATAGTTGACTCGATGTCTAATAATTGGTGTAAAAATAGTTTTGACTCCAACTGTAAGATTGAGTTATTATTGTTGTATTCATTCACTTCACTCTTATTATTAATGCTATTAATGTTATTTACGTATGTTTTACACTTATTATACACTATTTTATTGCAATTGATGTATTTATTATTATATTTTAGATAGATAAATAGCAAGGCGACACAATTTATTGCAATAATTAATGTAAGAATAAAACAATTTTTTATTAATTTAATCATAGTATGTTATTATGAGTAAAATGATTCACTTAAGCTAGTTAATACTGGACTTATAAATTAATTTTTAACTTTATTATTATAAAGTTTTAAATATTATGTTTTAATAAAATGTCCTATTATTTTGTTTGATTTAATAATAAATGATATTAGTAATAAAACTTTCATTTCTATAATAATTTATTTACATCAGTAATGTTTTGTTATTGTAAATTAGATTTTATAAACAATATTAAAATTTAATTGATTTTTATTATTATATAACTAATATAGCATTATAACTGTATACTCTTAAAATATAGGTCAATAAGAATAATTTATTAATAAATTAATATAAGTTATTATGACTTACATATTTTAGCATGTTTGTTATGCAATAGCACGTAATATTCTTAAAATGATTCCTGGCACAATCTATTAAAAATATAACAAATTAAAATGTTTTATTTATAAGTTTATAAAGTGTTTATAAATTGTTAGTTATATACAATTTTATTATTTTACACTTACAATACTATTTAGTAATTTACTATTTAAGTTCAATGAGTATTTATTGCTACAGAATGCATTTTAATGTTAATAAAATTAAATTACTAGCATTTTTAAAATTTACCAATGCAATTTTAGTAAAATTTTACTTAAAAGCTTTAAAATTATAGCATTATGTAACATTAAGTAACTATTGCACCTAAAATAGTCATCATATATTACTATTGTAGACTATTTACTCAGGCTACATTAAATCACTATAAATCTTACGTATAATTAATGTAATCCTAGTTTTTAATAATAAATTTAAATGCTCATTGTTCTTAATACAAATATCAACAAAAAAACTATTGTTTAATAATATTTCATAAAAATTACAAAATATTCTCGGTATATTTATACTAGAATAATTCAAATTTTATTGATACTAGCTCGTATTGTGTTACAGTACATAGTAATTATCTATAATTAATACTACTATGCAACTATTTCAGTCGATAGACCACAATCATTTCGTATGAATTTGCAATTGTGTTTGAACAAGCACATGTGTCATCCGGTAATTAATTATTATAAATATAAAGAGAAATGATAAAAGTAAATTACTTTAAAACAATAGTTAATGATTTTAATATTAAAACTTTTTTCGCAAATGTGAAATAGCAAAAAAAATATTAAATTGTTATTTAATAAGTTTACAGTGGATACAATTATGTTTTCAATTATTTATATAGCAATATTTTTTAATATTTTGGGTAAATATAATTATTATTTAAATAATTAATATGAATTATGATTATAACAAACTCCTAAGCTAATTTAACAATTTTAAAACATTCATTTTAAATATAAATTAAATAGGCTTATTACATTATTATTATTTGTAGGATTTAAAAATTTTAAAAATTTGTTATTTTAATTTGTCTAGTTAATCAAGCTACGGCAAATGGACCATGTGGCGACTGGACCTCGTACCATGATCAAAAATGTTTCAAAATAATCGCAGCGGTGGGCACACAACAAGAGGCTATGGCCGCATGCAAACAACTCGATAGCCACTCAACATTGCCTACAATAAAGTCTCTGGATGAAAACACTTTCATATACAACATGGTCAAACCATACGCTAGTCAGGCAACCAGTATCTGGTTGGGCACCCTATACCTTAGCAACACATTTCAATGGGTAGACCACACGGCCATTAGCTACAAAAACTACGCCTACCCTGCTAACATACACAACCAATGCATGCAAATGTCCTTGCACATAACTACTCTAACAGTGAATACAAGGCTTGGAATGTGTTTACCATTAATAAGAAATTTTTGTTTGCATTTTTAGCATCAGTCGTATCATTCACTGTAATGTTAATACAATTATTGGAAAAATGAATAAATTATACCTAGTTTATTTAATTGAGCGTATGTTTGGTCCGTCTATCGGTTTCTATTGCTATGACTTGTTTCCAATGAATTACATAGAGTTCTATCAATACGTTTATATCACGGGACTTAATTACTTGCTTATTATAAATTTAATGAACTAAATGTAATTTTAGCATTGTTTGTAAAATAAATACATAATTAATAATTTATTGGTTGTGAAATCATTTAGTAGATAAAATAAGTATGCGATATATCTGTGGACAATGTGCACATTTGCACTACAAATAAGTACTAGTTTAATTGTCCTATTCTAGTATTTATATAATACTGATTAACATCTTAATGAATATAAGTTTATTTGAATGTATTAAATAAGATACTATATGTATTATGTCAAAATATTTTATCATCCATTCCTGTAAAATAAAAATAATATTTTATTATTATATTATATTGTATTTCATTTAATGAAAATAAATAATTAATTTTTTAATATGAGACTCGATTATATGAAACAGCGACAAATATTTCTATGAGTAATATAAGATTAAGATTTGTATGGAACGTGGGGTGCATTGGTTTACTATGAGACACGCTCCCAAAAAAGCTTAATCCTATATTACTCATAGAAATATTTGTCACTGTTTCATATAATCGAGATTCATATGTTACTTTTGTTGATATGAGACAGGCACATACCAAGTGATGATTATAAAATTTTATGATTACCTGTATCTCCGAGTTTGTAGTCCTGTAGGCATTCCCTCTGAATGCTACCCAAAGGTGGGGCCATCCGTAGGGTCTCATTGATGACTGCATTGAGATATTTGAGTCCATTTAGGTTCTCA